CGAACCTCTTCTCTGCGCTCTCTTCATTCTGATTCAAAATATCCACATCACCTCTGTAGAAATATGAGTGGAGCTCAGTTAGTTCCTCCACTGTCAGGAGTTACTGAATAATATGTTTTAACCACTCTAGTTCGCCATCTAGTTTATCTTTGATAGTTGCATGCACTCAGGCAAAATGAGCATGATTCTATGATGAAATAGGATTGAGCTCTTTGTAATCTCCTCTCTACTGTGATTTTATTCAGTCTACTTATTTGCACACAGCCAGCTGAAGAAAACTGAGGACTTTTATCTTGAATAGAAGCAATGAGGAAGAGGATGGCTCCAGGAGGAGTGGGAAAACATGTTTTCTGCCTATGTCAGGACACATTTCATGTAGGTGGAGAGCAGGCAGAGGCATCATGGGGAAGGAAGAAAAAAAGAACCAAGAGTAGAAGAGACAAAACCATGAAAAATATGGAAGGTGACATGATTACTCTTTTTACTTACTTTCTTTTTTTTTAACATATTTTTATTTTTGCTCAGTCTTGCCTTTCACCTCCCATCCAACAAAGATGTCTCTGCATTGTAGTTTCTTTACCATGAACCCAACCACAAATTGCTGTTTGTTGTTTTCCTTCCTCTCTTCCCATCTTTCTGGCCTCCCAAAAATGTAACAAGAGGAATGCCATACATTCACCACTTAAATTTTTGGGTCATTCTTTGGGCTGGCTTAGCAGCTCCTCTAATGTTTATTAAATAAATGCCTTGTTCAAACCACTGTCTGTTTTTGCTGGGGATACATCACCTTACCCTCCTGAACCTTGAAATCCAGCTGAAGAATCATTCAATAAACAAATCAGTTAAAATGTAACACAATTAAAACAGAGAATAGAAAGGGTATTATTTTGTGGGGTTGTCAGGAAAAGCTTCCGGGAGAGGCTGAGGGTGGATCAGCAACATGAACGAACATGGGAAATACACGCTATGTGCCCAAGGAAACAGCATTCCAAGTGGGAAGGGGAGATGTACATGACCCAGGGCAGGAGAGAATTAGCAGACAACTGCAGGGAGCACATAAGGCGTCATTTTTGGGTACAGCCCAGTTCAGAGCCAGTGAGCCCACAGAAGCCACAAAATGAGGATTCTGAAGATTTACCTGGCCATGATGAGAAATCATTGAATATTTGAGAGCACAGTATGACATGCTTTTTCTTATAAAAATAATAATGCATACCTAGATAGCCTTTACCAGTGCCTTTCCCTCTGCCACCCTTCTACTTACATAAGCTCATTTAATTTTAAAACAGAACTAGGGTAAAGATGTTATTATGATTCCCATTTTATAGAGGATAAAACTGAAGCAAAAAGAAGTTAAACAACTTGACAATGTCAATACCTTATAGCAGTGAAAGCCGGAGTCAGGCAGTCTGGCTTCAGAATCGTTGCCCTTAATTCGTGGCCTATATTTATACTGATTTTCATTTATAAGAATTTCTGGAGTGTGAGAAATAGATCTGTTGGACAAAAGTTTAAGCAGGCCAGCCAGGGAAAGAAGAGAGGGCAGTCACTTGGAATATGGTGCTTGTGGTGGAGGGAGGAGGGGATTGGGGCTCAGATTTGAGATGCATTCTGGATTTGCTTGAAACAGAAAGATTGGGGATGGATTACATACAAGAGAAAAAGCAGTATCAAGGGTAACTAATTTTTGGACCTGATCAACTGGGTAAAACACGGTACTTCTTGCAAAGTTAGAGAAATAGAGCGGAGACAGATGGGTTGGTGAGGAACAGAATGAAAGAGTTGAACATGTGAATATATAATGAAGCTCTGTGGCACATGCCTGTCATTTGGACTACAGAGTTAAAATTTCAGGTCATGACCATGTAGACATTTTAGAAAGCTACATGTCTGCAGAAGGGTCTTGAGGAAAGGAATATAATCATTCTAAAGACGGAGCACTGGGATATCCCTGCCTTCAGAGATTGTGAAGAGTTTATAGAGGAAAAAAAATAAGTAATAAAGATCAGTGGGTGAAAGAGGGAGAATAAAGACATAGGGAAGAAAGTCCAAAGGCAACAGGTCAAATGTGCATACTGCTGTTGACATAGGCCAACTGAATGAAGATTAAAAACTTACCCTGGAGCCTGGCAGAGGGGAGGCCTGGAACATGAGTGTGAGGGGCAAAGGGTGGTTGGTAGAGTTCAAAGCCCAGCCAAACCGAAGGCCCTTCTTTATAATGTCAGCAAGGTCATTTAAGATGTTTAAGAGGTGGACGGCAGTAGCAGAGTGAAGAACAAAATAATGATTTTATCAAATACTTCAATGAATTGTGGAACATGGTACTGAGAGCCTTCTACACAGCCAGCGCTCCTAGGTCCTGAACCACTGTGCGCTTTCGTCTTCTTTCACTCACTCATTCAAAAGGGGATTATTCATTGAATATCTATTAAGCGATGGATTGAGAAGACATTGGTGTAATTGTCACAATAAAAAGTGTTGATATTAAAACAAATGTTTCAATGGAAAATTATGACTACGCTCCGGTAATCCTCACAAATTTTTCACATTCTTTTTAATTGCTGCCCATTTTTTTTTACATAACTTTTATCCAACTTTATTAATAATATTACAAATCATTTTTGTAGATGTATCTATGGAACTTTTATTTTCAAATGTCTTAGTTACTTTTCTCTCACTTCTGAGACAAAAATACCTGACACTCAAATTTAAAGGAGAAAAGGTTTCCTTAGCTTATAGGCTGTAGAGGTTTCAGTCCGTACTCAGCTGGCTCCAAGGCAGGACGGCCTAGGAGAGGGGCAACACTTCGCAGTGGTGAAAGAGAGCAAAAGCAACAAGAGAGGAGAGGGGGCACCCCTCTTTCCTTCCCTCATATTGCATGCAGGCTGCCTGCCTTATGGTGGAGTAGCACTCACACCCTTAATCCCAGTATTAGACCATCAGTCAATCACAAATTCTAGACACAGCTGCCTCCAAAAAGCACCACCTGTGTGACCACATGAGGCTTTGAGGGACATCCAGATACAAACCATAACAATAGCCACCCTTGTAGTCTTCAAATTATACTGTAATTAATGATTTAATGCCTTTTACCTTTGTTAAATTATGTGTCACACTTCAAAACTACATCTGGCTCAATTCTGATTGCCTTCATCTTCATGGTTTCTGAGTGACCCAATACAATGCTGACTGCTTGTGTTCTTATTTTTGCATTTTCCACTTGCAGGTTTGGATATATTGTGGGTGTTATTTAATTTCTCGTCCTCTCATCTATAAAGTGTAGATTGTAACAGCATCGCATAGGTGGTGAGGGCAAGGTGAATTCTTATATAGAAAGTCCTTATGGTTGTATTGCTACTTTGTAGGCCCTACATGTGTAAGCCAGCTGCCTAAGAAAAAAGGTTGGTGCCTAAAACATGTTTAATGAATGAGGAAAATAAAAGAGTTTCATTTTGGCTTCATACAGCTAACATTTCAAATGCTTTAAGGTTATTTCCTCCTTTGCATCTGTAACAATTTAGTGAGAATGTACTATCTGCTAGGCGTCCGGAGAAAGCTAAACATTTCTTGGAATAAATTTTCCTAAGCGAGGTCAACCTGTGAAGGGCCCTGCCCTTCTGTGCATCGCTGGTCGCCCTGTGGTGTCTCCGACGTGGGTCTGGGTCATCCTGCTGTCCCCGCAGATGCAGTATTGTTCTCTGAGCTCCTTTCAGCTTCAGCACGGCTGGGGGCCTCTCACTCCTCTTCCGTCCCTACTCTCCGTGAAGCCTTTCTCCTTCTCCATCCTTTTTCTTCTCCTTCACTGCTTCCTCTGGACGTCGATTTTTCTGAGTACACAGATTCAGAAGATGCAATTGTCTGGAGGCGGGAGAAAAGTTGAGGAGACTGTGACGCGGGGAAAGACACACTTGTGAAGAGCTGAGCTGGCTCGGCAGACTGCCCTGGTTACTACCCAGTCTCGGAAATGGGAACACAGCTTGACGGGCCCTGCCAGCCAGGAGGAAATCCTGCTGCATCGGGGCCTGCGATCTTAGTTACCTCGGCGGCTGAGGCCCGAGCACTGCAAGGTTTAGGCCGGCCTAAAATGTTTGGCTGGAGCCTGCCTCAAACAGAAGAATGAAAAGGGCTGGGAATGTAGGTCAGCGGCAGAGCGTCCCTGGGCTCGGTGGACAGTTCTGTGGAGAAATGAAGCTCCCCCTGGGCTAACTGAAGCTAAGGGCAGAAAGCTCTTGCGTGAGGCAGTTGATTTAGGGAAAGTCATTGTCAAAGCTTCTCAATAGGGTTATATGAGTATCATCCAATGGGCAGCTAAGGGCCTCTTTTGAAACCTGGAAGAACGAGATAAATAGAAGGAAACCATAGTATTGAGGTTATTCATAATCCATTCCATTCATTCATTCATTCATTCATTCATTCATTCATTCATTCATTCATTCATTCTACATACACTGGGCGTCTCCTTCGTACCAGGTGCTGTGCTAGGTACTGGTTACATTCTAAGGACAGCAGATTCAGTCCTGTTGTCAGGACTCACTTCTTGTTGCAGTTACTGTCACTTCCAACTCAGCCAGAGCTCTGGCTGCGGCCCTAGCGGACGGGTTTTGTGCGTCTTTCCTCTGGCTCTGTGCTGGGAAACCATCGCCCACCCTAAGGACTCGGGGCCTTGCACCCTCAGGGCTCAGAGCCGAGACCCAGCGGGGGTGGCCTCCTCGCATCCTGGAGACGCCGACCCGGCAGCTGCGGTGAGCGCCTGTGTGCGGCTCCGTGCGCCCGGGCTGCGCCAGGGGCACGGGGCTGCAGGACCGCGCTCGCTCCGGCGCCCGCCACCCGCCACCCGGTGCCGGACGGGGGCGCAGCCGCATCCGCCCGGGGCGCCACCGCCGCGCCGCCCAGAGGCCGAGCCGGGGAAGCCGCGGAGCGCTACCGGCGGGGGCGGAGCCTGACCCGAGAGATCGCGGCCAATCGCGGGGCTCTGGGGGAGGAGCCCCGAAGGGGGAAAAAGAAAGTGCGGCGGAAAGTAAGAGGCTCGCAGGGGCGAGACGGCCTGGGTCCGGTCCCCGCGCACCGCTGGGCGCCGCGAGAAGCAGCCGGGCGCCTCCGCCCACCCCACCGCGACGCCTGGAAAGGTGAGTTTCGCGCTGCGGCGAGCGTGGGCATCACGTAGCCGCGGAAATGGGGGTACACGGAGTCTGGAGATTTTCTCCCCCATCGCTCCTGTTTTACAGAAGGGAAAACTGAGACACGAGACGAAGCAGCGGCTTGGGGGCGGGAAGGGGGAGAAGTAGCCGCAGAATAGAGCGGTGGCCGGGATTCGAACCAGGCGACGCGGACCGGGTCTTTGCTTCAGGACTGAGTAACGCAGTTTTGCGACGGCCACGCGGGGCCGTGTCGTGTGGTCCGCTGCGGTCTCCTCCGCCCGGCTGCCCGGGAGCGCTCAGTGAACCCCCAGGGGAGGGGGTCCGCGAGCCTCAGCCTGCACGCGTGTGCCCCCTCAGTCCAGCTGTGACAGCGCGGAGACGCTGCCAGCAGCCTCACTCCCTCTTCCTGACCTGCTTTCTCCAAGAGATGCTCCTACCGAGGGCGTCCAACAGGCTCCTGGCCCAGTTGAGGAAGAGGTAAGGACCCCGGCGCTGCTGGCCTCCCGTGGCTGCCACAGTTGTCTCCCAGCTCCAGAGTGCTGAGCTGTTGCAGGGGGTGGGGGGGTGGGTGGGGGGAAGAGTAGATGTCCCCGCTTAAGGAGAGCCGAATTCCAGATTCTCCAACACCCATTTCCACAAGCAAGCTGAGTTAGAGGCCAAGAATTAAAAAAATACATATGCAAAACAAACTTAATTGCTTCTTCCAAGAGCCAGTTCCCAACCTGTTTGCCCTCCACCCTTTGGTTGTGAAATTGTGAGCCTGGATATCGCAGGAAGAGTCTGAGGCTCAGCTATGCGGGTCCGCAGGTTAGCTGCCCAGTGGAGAGGGGAGATGTCCCCAGTGTACGTCTCCTTCTCCGCTGTGTTAGGTGCCTGAACTTGGGAAAGTTAGCCCGTCCTTCCGCTCTCCCCCATTCCCCGAGTGGAGGTGGTCATGATCACAGAGAGGCTCAAAGAATAGTTGTGAGCTTGAAATGGGAAAATCCCAGTGGCTTGTTTAGTGGAGTGCCTGGCAGACACCACTGTGAATATCTTTGTCCAGTGATCCTGCAGACCTTGAGTTTGAGAAAGGTGTTTTTACTGCTTAGGATGACCTTGTTTTACACCTGGAAAGGTGATACGCTTTTCTTCTTTGGAGTTGGAGCGGTTTTTTATAGTAAGCTTTTTTTTTTTTTCTCTCTGAATATCGTCTACATGTGACTCGGATAATAGGCTCTTGATCTCAAATATCAAATGAAGGATTTTTCGCGTGGGGAATTTCCTAGGAGCTTTTACATCAGCTCTTGTATTGGTGCACTCCCCTGACCTCAGGCATTCTTTGGTGAGGAAGAGGGTCTTGAGTTTGAGAAGGGAGAAAGAAGATAGGAGGAAGTTGCAGCTATGCTGGAGAGTGAGCTAAGCCCGCCGTCCTGCTTGCCTGGTTCAGGTAGACGGCTCTGGAGTTTTTCAGCTAATATCAGAAAACAGAAAAAAAAAAAAAAAAATTGTATTGTATTTCTGTGTGATTTTGCAGGGCTGCTGATGAATTCAGTCCCTGCCGGACACTAACTTGCTTTATTTAAGCACATGCATGTGCGTGCATGCACACACACACACACACACACACACACACACACACAGAGGAAGGACAGGTCTTTCTGTATTACTGGTATTTTATAATTCAATAGCTCCTTTCATAGATCCCTGCCCTGCTTATGACAGTTCACTTTATTTTACTCATACACTTGTTTGCCATTATCTCCTGGCTAAATGAATAAAGCACTTAGCATTTAGAGCAGGCTGCCTCTTTCCCATCCTCAGCATTCCTTTGCAGTATTGATGAATGTTTGACAAGGAGTGGGATCTGTGTGGAGTGAGGCCGAAGGCCAGTGGTGCCCACTGGGGAGCCTCCCATACTAAGCATTTGCGGGGACGGGGTCACTTGCTTCCGTCAGCTTGTTCTGCGTGCATGCATTGTGATGAGCTGGCCACAGCACCTCTGAACGTGTACCTGAGGGACCAGGGGCTTGTGGAGAGATGCAAAATGCTCAAAATAAGGTCGCAACAAGGGGATGGAAGGGAGGTTGAAAGCAAATTCTTACAAGTTCTTTGAAGAAAGCAGTTCTATTGTATCCTT